TGTCATTGTTGTTTGGCGGGTCCAGGCTGGGGATTCGAACCCGCCACCTTAGGTGTACGTGGCTGGCGCCTTAGCCGGTTGAGCTATAGGCGCTGAGCCTTACAATCGTGTTTTGCCCCCAAAAGGTATGGTACACACCAAGACCCCACCCCCTCCTTCCCTCTCTCTGTTCTTCCTTTCCCCCACCCCTCCCCCCTTCTTTCTCTGTCTGCTCTCCCCTTCCCCCACCCCCACCATGCCATTAACTGTTATTAATTGTTCTCATATCAAAATTGAGTACATAGGATTCATGCTTCTCCATTCTTGTGCTGCTTTACTGAGAATAATATGTTCCACTTCCATCCAGACTTTACAAAGGTTGTACAGTCTCCATTTTTTTAAAATGTCTGAATAGTATTCCACGGCGTACATATACCACAGCTTATTAATCCATACCCGGGCTGATGTGTTTCCTTTTTTTTTAAAAGGTGAAATGGTTTGGGCATGGTGGCTCACACCTGTAATCTTAGCACTCTGGGAGGCCGAGGTGGGTGGATTGTCTGAGCTCACTGGTTCAAGGCCAGAGTGAAACCTCATCTCTAAAAATAGCCAGGTGTTGTGGTGGGCACCTGTAGTCCCAGCTCCTTGGGAGGCTGAAGGCAAGAGGATCACTTGAGCCCAAGAGTTTGAGGTTGCTGTAGAGCTGTGATGCCATGGCAGTCTACCCAGGGCAATAAAGTGAGACTCTGTCTAAATAAATTAATAAATAAATAGGAATGGTTCTCCCTCAGTAAAAGGAAGCCATCTTTCTCCTCAAATTCTCTGAAAGACAGGAGATTCCCATCCCTTGGACATATGTCCTGGGAAAATCAAGAGTTCACTGGATTCTGTGGGGGGGTGGGGTAGGGAAGACACCCCTGAGAAACACTTCGGGCCATTTCTCCATAAGGGTCTGCTGGCATTTAGAGAGCTGCGGGTTATGTTGCAGGCATTTAGAGAGCTGCGGGTTATGTTGCAGGCAGAGACGTTGGTCCTTTGTGACACTTCATGGACACATGTTTGAATCAGAGGCATTAGTGTCTAGCACAGAGGGCCAGAGCCAAGGCCACATCTGCAGTGTGACTCTTCATCAAGCCGGATGTGCACGTGAATAGCAGAACCTACACTAAACACAGCTGGCATCCTCAGTGCTGCAAGTGTGTCCCTCACCATTTACACAAGTTTCACCTTTCAGTTGAGACATTTATTTTTCTACTGACAGCTCTGTGAGGTGCACACGGTCAATTCTCCTGTCATTTCTCTTCTCTTTGGGGAGATTGATAGCCTGACCTGCCTCAGCTTGGGAAAAGGGAGAAAGAGATCTCCTCTAGACCTGGGGCGTCAAGCAGCACAGGGCACACGCGTCCTTAGGCGCTCAGAAACGTGTGAAAAATTGGTTTTGTGCCTTATCTATTTATCTTATCAATTCCTCATCTCCAATGCTTTCTTACTACACGTGCATACAACGCAAGAAGTCAGAGCTCCAAGCCAGTCAAGGTCTATGCAAGGCAGAGAGGGAGGTATTAAAGAAAGTGTGTGCAACGGCCCAGGGGATGCAGTTCTCGGCAGTTCTAAGTGGCTCAGATTGAGTGTGGACCTTTCAATCCTAAGTAAGTTCACACTCTGGATGGAGCAAAGATGATCTGCTTAGTTATAGTAGTAATGATAATCCTAATAAAATAGGACTATAAAAATTAATGAAATCTTATGTAGAATTTCCATATGTGAAGAGGTAAGTGCAGGGTTCTTAAGATGAAGAATCCATACGTATGCGGGGCATTATGAAAGTTTTGAGATACATAAAAGTTAAGAAATGTGGATTTTAATTGTTTTGTGTCTTAGATTTAGGTCTTTTATCCAGAGGGAATCAATTTTTGTGAGTGGAGAAAGGTGCGGGTCCAGTTTCCCTCTTTTACATGGGGATAGCCAGTTCTTCCAGCACCTTGTATTGGATAGGCACGAAACAATTAAAATCCTCAAAAAACGTGTGGCGAAAACACTGGAAGCTATTGGCCTGGGGAAGGACTTTATGAGGAGGACTTCCATGGCAATTTCAACAACAACGAAAATAAACAAATGGGACTTAATGAAACTGAAAAGCTTCTGTACAGCTAAGGTGACAACAAACAAAGCAAACAGACAACCTACACACTGGAAAAGGATCTTTGCATGTTTTGAATCAGACAAAAGCTTGATAAGTAGGATCTACAGAGAACTCAAATTAACAAGCATAGAAAGAGCCAACAATCCCTTAGATCACTGGGCAAGAGAGATGAATAGAACCTTCTCTAAAGAAGACAAGACGAATGGCTAACAAACATAGGAAAAAGTGCTCAGCATCCCTAATTATTAGATAATGCAAATCAAAACCACCCTGAGAGATCTTCTAACCCCAGGGAGAATGGCCCACATCACAAAGTCTCAAGACTGCAGATGGTAGAGTGGATATGGAGAGAAGGGAACCCTTTTATGCTGCTGGTGGGACTGCAAACTAATACAACCTTTTTGGAAGGAAGTATGGAGAACCCTCAGAGAACTCAAGCTAGACCTCACATTTGATCCTGCAATCCCATTACTGAGCATCTGCCCAAAAGAAAAAAAAGAAAAAAAAATCCTTTTACCACAAGGACATTTGCACTAGACTGTTTTTTTTTTTTTTGTTTGTTTGTTTTTTTGAAACAGAGCCTCAAGCTGTCACCCTGCGTAGAGTGCTGTGACATCACAGTTCACAGCAACCTCCAACTCCTGGGCTCAAGCAATTTTCCTGCCTTTGTCTCCCAGTATCTAGGACCACAGGCGCCCACCACAATGCCTGGCTCTTTTTTGGTTGCAGCTGTCATTGTTGTTTGGTGAGCCCAGGCTGGATTCCAACCTGCCAGCTCAGGTGTATGTGGCTGGCACCTTAGCCACCTGAGCCACAGGCGCTGAGCCTGTACTAGACTGTTTATTGCAGCTCAGTTTATAGTCAAATGTGGAAAACAGCCTAAATGCCCACCCACCCAGGAATGGATTAACAAGCTGTGGTATATGTATATCATGGAATACCATTCAGCCACTAAAGAAGATGGAGACTTTACATCTTTTGTATTAACCTGGATGGATGTGGAACACATTATTCTTAGTAAAGCATCACAAGAATGGAGAAACAAGAATCCTATGTACTCAATTCTGATATGAGGACAATTAAAATCCTAGTACATGGTGGGGTTAGGGGATGGGGAGAGCTGAGAAAGGGAAGGAGGGAGGAGGTGGGAGCACAAGGGGTGGGGTACACCTTTTGGGGGTGGGACACAATTATAAGAGGGTCCTTATCCAACAAAAGCAATCAGTATAACCTGGTTCTGTGTACCCTCAATGAATCTCCAATAATAAAAAGAATAGAAAAGAAGGCAAAAAAAAAAAAAGTTAAGAAATATAAAATCCACATGGATAAATAAAAATGAAGCCCTCCCAGCAACACCCCTAAGCTGAGCAAGCTGAAACTTGTGCAGGTGAATCAGAAGGGACACTGGATTGTGTTTCTTGAAAGTGAAATAATGGACAATAACAGTCTGTCTCAAAACTTCTGTAGTGACTTATGTATTGGCATGTGTGCAATGTGGATATTATATAGGTAAAAATAAAAGCAAGGTGCATGCAGAATAGTGCAATATCTATTTCTCTACCTATTTATCAAGGAAAGAGAACTTGAACCTAGGGGTTAAGAATACAAGGAAACCTGCTTTTGTATACTTTGTGCGATACTTTTTGTTTTCTTTTTAGTCTATGCATTCATTACCTAGATAACATAGTGGGAATTCCTTCCTTAATCCTCATTTCCTCCTTCCACCCTCTGCCCGCTTACCCCATCTTCCCTGTTTCTCTTGTGGTACCCCCCTGAAGAGCTCCCTGGGACACAGTTTGAGAAGCACTGACCCGACAATGCTTTGTCATTCTGCCTTCAGAGCCAGCTTCCTTACTGGCCATGTTCTAACTATGTGTTGGCACTCAGCACTGCTATCACCTTAGTCATTCAACCTGAATGTATGACTGACCCAAGGCAGTGACCTTGAGTCAGCCTAGCTTCATTCAATAAAACAAGTCATCATTTGGGAACTGTAAAGCACCCTTTGCAGAGGCTCAATTTAAAGCCAAGATCCTGTTTTTATAAACAGTACTCTGGGCTATCCCCCCTTCACTCAGCTCTAGGCACGTACCTCTCTGCCACCACTTACTCTTTCTCACGCTGCCCCGCCCTTTCCGAAGAGACCCTTGTCCCACAGTGGCCAGGCTGGCTGTGCTCCTCATGGGACTGACGATGGCAGTGGGCACAAAGACGGATTTGAAGGGATGGCTTTGCCGGGGATCACCTCCCAAAATGCTGCCTTGGGAGGACATAGAGGAGGTGGAGAACGTCCACGTGGTGTAGAGACCAGGGCTCCGGGGATCTGGAAAACTAGATGTCTTTCTGGTTGTTGGGTATTTTTTTTTTTTTTAAAGAGAAGAAATAGAAGAAGAAAATGTTCAGTTTTATTTAAAAATGTAATAGCTCCCACCCACATATCAAATGTGACCACCTTGTACCTTCTTTTATCCGTATTCTTTTTTTGTCAACCATAGTCTTAGCTAAGTCGGCTCCACTTCCCTACACCTTGTTAACTGTGCTGTGTGGCGAACGCAGGGAGAGGGGCTCACATTGACAGGCCTGGTGGAAGTAGGAGACTTGAATTTTGTCATCTCTCACTCTGGCTCTGGTCACTCCTCACCCTACGTCCCTTTAGCCCTTGAGTTCAAAGCACGAGATCCCGTATGTGGTCACTTAGCTTCACAGTGACAGTTTCTCGTCCCGTCAGTGACTTGTCCACTGGATTCTAAAGTCTTTGAAGGCAGAGATTTTATAGCTTACTTTATCATTACTTATTCATTTTTTAGAGATATTCATTAGTCTTACTCTCTGGCTCATGCTGGAGTACAATGGTGCAATTGTAGCTCACTGTAACATCAAACTCCTGAGCTTAGGCGATTCTCCCTCCTCAGTCTCTCAGGTTGCTAAAACTATAGGTGCCCTCCCACAGCTGGACAGTTTTTACATTTTTTTTTTTTTTTTGAGACAGAGTCTCAAGCTGTTGCCCTGGGTAGAGTGTTGTGGTGTCACAGCTCACAGCAACTTCCAACTCTTGGGCTTAAGTGATTCTCTTGCCTCAGCCTCCCAAGTACCTGGGAATACAGGCGCCTGCCACAACGCCTGGCTTTTTTTGGTTGTAGTTGTCATTGTTGTTTGACAGGCCTGGGCTGGATTCGAACCTGCCAGCTCTGGTGTATGTAGCTGGCGCTCTAGCCACTTGCCGAGCCAATTTTTAAATTTTTATGTAGAGATGGGGTCTTACTATGTCGTCCAGGTTGCTCTTGAACTTTGGCCTCAAACAATCCTCTCACCTCAGCCTCCCACATTGCTGGGATTACAGGTGTGAGCCACACTGCCCAGCCTTACTACTTTGTCTCTACAGTCTGTGTATAATGTTGATTAATAAATGTTTGTTAAAAGGCTGCCATGATGCTTTCAGTGCTGATGCCAGTCATTCTGGCTAACACATATTGAGTGCTTACTGTATACCAGGCATTGACCAAGTCCTTTGCCCACATGATCTCATGGATTCTTTATAACAGCTTATTTGGCATGTACTCTTAGTGCCACTATTTTATAAATTAAAAATTACAGGGACTTACAGTTACTTGCCCAAAGAACTAACGGGCCTGGGATTTGAACCCAGGTTTAGGCTGGTTCTCTGTTCTTACTACTGAAAAACACCACCTTTAGTAGAGCGTTCATCATTTGGTAGCAGGAAAAAGCTCTTTATTCTGCCTGAAATAAATGAACTTAAGTAGCTGGTAGGCCCTACACATGTCTCTGTAAGACTCTAATTCTTTAGCCTCGGGCTGTGATTTTCAAGACTAGTATTCAAGTTTTATAAAACAACAATCCCTTGTCCATTGTTTCCAGCCCGCGGCTCCCTGAACTCCACGGGGAGTGGCTGGCATCTTACATGCCTTTCTTGCCCTTTTACCAATCCAACCCCAACATCACATCTCTTACTGAGCAGTCCATCAATCACCTTGTCACCCTGTTGATTAAGTAGCTTCTACTAATTCCCTGGGAATAATGAACACAACCAAGGCCCTGGCATAGAAACGCCTTTGTGGTTTCCTTCCCACCAATGCCTCCAGGTTTTCCATAAGGTCATTTCTCCTCATCTCTCCTCTTTCTCCTTTTCTATTCTTTTGATTAAAAAGATAATATGTAACTTAATAATGAGTCAGTGTTGTATGAAGACAGATAAAGCACCATTTAATTGAGGCCAAGGTAGATCTGCAGCCAAATGCCGTAGGCATGGATGCTTGCAGCAAGGGGCCCTCTATCCATAGCTGTCAATCTGCCTCTGATCCCCATGGTGGTGCAGTCAGTGAAGAGGAGTGGGGCTGTCTCCCAAGGACAGGTCAGGCTGTACCCTGGAGTTCAGGCCTGGGTGGTAGAGAGAAGTGCCCAACACCGGCTTCCATGGCAGAGTGCAACTGATCTGCCTGTTGTCTTTTGAACAGAGCCCTCGAGGAGTTGGCTGCTGCAAAATGGATTGGCAACAGGAAAGACAGTTCCAAAATTATCCCCAGCAGCAGCAGCATTAAGGGACAGAATACAGCTAATTAGACCATAGCAACTCTTATTCTACCAATCTTTTCTTTGAATGACTGTTTATAGACTGAGGTGTGACCTCATTTTCTGGGCCCCTCACTGGGCTAGATTCCAGGAACTCTGAAATCCCGAATCTTTCATCTAACACTGAGTCTCTCTATATCTTTTGGCGAAAATTTCAGCACTTACCTAGCACTTTCTTCCAACATCAAAGCACTTTACTAACATATGAATTGATTCCCACGACACCCCAGTCCTGCAGACATTATGACCTTGGTTTTCTAGATGGGGAGACCGAGACATTCTGGGCTTAAGTGGGAGGAGTAGGTGTGGCACCATCGTGTGGGTTCCTGTGTCCTCCTAACTGGGATATTAGCCCTTCGAAGTTTGCCCAGTTGCACAAGGGACATTAGGGACGGCAGCTGCTCTGTGCTCACTACTGTAGCAGCCTCCTCGCCAGGAGAAGGGTTGGACCTACCTTGACAATCTCTATATAGATCTGCCTAGAAGGGTTAAAGGCAAGTGAGTGGAGGCCCATTTGTTGCTTTTCTCTACTCATAAAGTACCAAGTGGGCATATGTCTGATGGTTTCAAGAAAGAGGAAGATCCTGGCTAATATGGCAGAAGTGAGTTTATTAGGAGGGCAGGAGGTGGAGAGAAGGTCTTGGAAATAAGATCCAGGAGGCTGCAGAGAGCTTGGCAAGAGGGATCCATAGGAAGAAACATCACGTCATGGGCTGGGGCCTGGCTCTCACCAGGAATGGTCTTTCACATTGCCCATATCACTTCCTTAAGTTTCAAAATCCCCAGGGGAGAGCCAGATTGGCTGAGCTGAATCCTTTGCTGTAGTGATGGGTTGAGGAGGAGAAAGGGGAGGATTTGGTTTCTTTGGTTTCTGAGGAGGGAGGAAATGTTTGCCTCCCACCACAACCATGCATGGAAGAGGAGATCCAAAGGGAGTTGGATGCCAGACGGATGAAAATGTGACAAATGTTTTGTGCAAGCTGGGCCAACGATGTCTCCAGGAGCTGGGAAGTGGCACCGTGCTGGCAGAGATGCAGCTGAACAGGTTGGTGTTACCACCTAGCACAGGGGGCTGGGCCCCAGAACAGCACAACTGCCTTTTTTTCCTCTGGCAGTTGAAAGGCTCATTCTCTGAATCTTAAATCTAAACCCTGACATTTTAGTCAATTCTCATCTACAGTTAATCCCTAAACTCTGGCTGGCTCAGTTCATTAGGGGCTGATGCTAATAGGATCAAAGGTTGAAATGCTTACACTGTTGAGCCCAGGTTATCATCTAAAAGGCTGCTCACTCTATTGCCCAGGCTATAGTGCTGTGGCATCATCACAGCTCACAACAACTTCAAACTCTTAGGCTCAAGCAATCCTCCTGCCTCAGCCTCCCAAGTAGCTGGGACTACAGGCACCCGCCACAACACCTGGCTAGATTTTCTATTTTTAGTAGAGACAGGGTCTTGCTCTTGCTCAAGGTGGTTTTGAACTCTTGAGCTCAGATGATCCACCTGCCTCGGTCTCCCAGAGTGTTAGCATTATACATACGAGCCACCACACCTAGCCCATATGGCCTGATTTTCCTATAGTTTCAGTTGATACCTGCTCAACAGTGTCTTAGTTTGGATGATAAAATATATGGTCACCCTAATTCTAATGGTTCTTTAATGGGATAACCAGGATTTGGGGCGAAGGCCTAACATCTAAGCAAATGCCCTAGTAGTAGGCATGGGCCCTGAGGAATCCCTGTTAGGTCGGGTGAAACTGTCCATGGGTCATGATAGCCTTCTCTTCATTGTCACTTCTAGACCATGCTCCACTCTCTTCCATACTTCCCAGCTGTGATTTGCATCATCGGACTTGACCACCCCCAGGCCACCTTGCTGCAGCCATCATTTACCCTCCACATCTCTCCCCTCATTCCCTGAAGATTCTTGCTTCTGCTTCCTGTCACTTTCTGGATGCAACTTATTGTGCCGGGAAGATCTCATCTAATCTTACGGCTTTAAATAGCATCTCAAGTCTGAAGCTTTCGCTCACATGCTGAACTTGTACCCTCAACTGTTTACCAGCTTTACTTGGATCATTAACAGGCATCTCAGACTTAATCTGCTGGAAATTAAGCTTTGCTTCCCTTCATACCTCAAAAGCTGTTCCTCTTGTGGTCTGGCGTCATCCCTGCCTCAGTAAAAAGCAACTGCATCTTCCAGTTCCTCAGGGCAAAAAACCCACTCGCTAGGAATCCTCTATTCTTTCACACCTGACACTCGGTCTGTTAGAAAGTCCTGTTGCCTGTACACCTCTCTCTACCTCCTGGCTAACAGCCTGGTTTAATTCACAGGATTATTACAGTAGCCCCTTAACTAGTTTTTCTGCTTCCCCACTTTCCTCTCTATAGTTTATTCCCAGCCCAGCAACTAGAGGGATGTTGGTTGGATGTGAGTTAGATTGCTTTTCTGCTCAAAACTGTGCAGCAGGGTTAAAAGCAACCCTCCCATTAAGACCTGGGAAATTCTGCATGATCTGCCCCCCAATACCATTCTGACCTCACCTCCTAATTCAGGGGGCCTCCCTTGCTCTAATCCAGGGGGCCTCAAACTTTTTAAACAGGGGGCTAGTTCACTGTCCCTCAGACCATTGGAAGGCCAGACTGAGGGCCCCCGGGATGAGTCGGCTGCTAAGCAGGACAGGCAGCAGTGGCAAAAACACCCGGCGGGCTGGATAAATGTCCTAGGTGGGTCACATGTGGCCTGGGGGCCATGGTTTGAGGACACCTGCTCTAATCCAATCCCTCCACATCAGGAGGAGAGCTTCACACCAGGAGGCTTTTAATAGGAGGCTTCACACCAGGGCCTTTGGACTCTGGGTTCCTGTGGCTTGGATGCATCTCTTTCAGAGTGCTACTCAGCCGACCTCATCTTCCTCCTTCCCAGCAAGGCCATGCATGACCAACTTATGTGAGATCTTAATCACTTCCATACAAACTATTTCCTCACTTTCTGATTTTTCTTTTTAGCCTTCATCACTAACCCACTGCGTATCTTAAACATCTTGTTCCTTATTTATCTCTCTCCCTAGAATGTGACCTCTTACGGGCAGCAATTTTGTGAACCTTGTTGACTGGCATTTCTCCAGCGCCTGGCAAGGTGCCTGACACATAGTTAGCACTTGATCAATATTTGTTGAAGAAAAATGAATTAAAACATCAGTTATAGATACCCTTAGTCTGCCTTTGGATATTTTGCAACTTTATAACAAATTCAAGAGCTGTCCTTTGAAAGGAATGACTATGATCTTCTATGCCATCTTTCTGCCACGTGATGAAATCTTTCTATATAATCCTGGGTGTATGGAGACCCAGAGTTTGCTTTTACTCTTTCACCCCACTAGCCAGCCTGGTTGGAAAAAAGCTATTAAAAGCCTGTCTTTTATTGAACCAAAACCCTCTAAGTTATATCTGTTGGTCCAGTCCACTGTCCTCTTAAGAGCAAGTATACTCTGTCATCTGCACAGTCTACTATGATCCCTCGGTCCCTTGTTGAATAACCCCAGTTTCTTTTTCGGTTTCTCCTGTGCTGTAGGAGAAACATCTTTCTGTTTGTGTCCTCACCATCTTTGCTGCCCTCCTCCAGACACAGTGTCCTGTCTAAATGAAGGCTCCCAAAGTGGACACATGACTCCAGGTCTGACTCCCACAGAAGACAATGGGATAGTTACTTCCTTGGGAATTGTGACCCTCTGTGCTGTCACAAAGCCAGGGTTTGACAGGTGGTGATGGCCTCAGTGCCTTGAGGCGGGCTTTGCCTGGGCTGATGGGGGTGGAGGCAGGAGGAGTCATGGATAGCATTGGGGTCTGTGTGCGTTTGCCACAGGACAGTGAGGAGGCAGGACAACCTGGGGGGTCGATGGGACTAATAGGAATGCCACAGAATGAGAAGGGG